TTTATCGATCATCAATTTCAACGGTTAGGGCGAAGGTGGTGTATTGGCTAGTATCGCACTATCTCTCACGCATGGTCATGGGTTCGAATCCTTTATTGTTATCTGCCTAAGACAACCAAGCCTTCATTCCATCCGGGGTCGGTCAATTGGTACCAGACTCGTCTGGGAGGATAAATGGGTTGTACCACAGTTCACAGTAATTTTGGGTAGTCCAGATTATGATGAAAAATGGACGATCGAAAATAGTGTGATGAAGGTGAAGAAACTGCGAGAATCGGTGTTTCCAAGATGGAAAAAGGCTTCGAAAAACCATTAGAAAGGGCGGTGGACGAGTATGAGACCAGAAAAACGGAGAGGAGTGGTGGGTTCGGACAAGCTATGCAATGTGTCTCACTGCGTACGTGTGGGGCCTGGTGCGAGTAAGTGACTACGGTAAGCAAAAATTTATTCACTCATAAGCAATTTATTCACTCATAAGCATAAGTTAACAAAAAAAACCCTCGTAACAGCAAAAGGACCCACCTTTTTCAGCCCCTTGGGATAGAAAACCAAATAAGAAATCCCAGCAGGAAAAAGAATAACACAGGAAAAAGAATGGGAGAAAACATCGCCTCACCACTCGATTTCTAAACGCCGATTCACGCACCTTCTGTGCATTCATCACATTACTTTTCAACCTATCTTCCATTTTGTCATAATCTGGATTATGCAGAAATATCGTGAAGTAAGCTTCGAAGGACTTCTCCGGGTGGTAGATTTTTTAAGTATTCATCTTAGCAGGCAATGCATCCAAGAAATAACTGTTTGGGCCACTGTGTCAACATGGTGTTAGTAAAGTTTGATGTGGATTGCTCTGAAATCATGTTAGTCAAAAAAAAGGAAGCTTGGGGTGAAGTGCTATTCCAATTTCACTGGATGCTGTAGGAACTTTCAGGAAAGGTCTCTTGTGCTGTGTTAAGCCTTTCCGAAGTTCACAACTTTATCCAGCTCACTTTTCGGCCTCTTCGCCTTCTTCAGAGCCTGAAAGCAAAAGCAGATCCTCACATAGGTCCAAACAAAACTCAAAACAGTCCTCTAAACTAGTAGACGTGAGGTGTTTTCAGAAAAATTAAGGAAAGATTGCGCATATACTGGTAATTCTAAAATAGTTACTTACGCCGGCAGCGCTGTAATTGAACTTTGCCAAAAAAAAAGTGATCACGCAGTTCTACTCTTTTACTCAGTGTAGTAGATTTGTCTACCTGCCCTCCTATACCTCCGAGGTTATGCTTAAAAATGTGGCGTCCTATAACTTTCAGTCACCCTATACACATACGTACATCAGAATTGAAAATGGGACGTTCCCATGAATAGGTGAATAGATGGCTATCATTTAACCATCGGAAGCTCTTTATCATCATTGCTCAATCATCAGTAACGTCGACCAAAATGGTGTGAAAAGAGATCTTCATAAAGGTCTCTGCCCAAATGAATAAAGTTTTTAGAAAAAATTCTCAGGCTATTTCCCTTATGACTAATAAATAGGGAAACATTTTGAAAAGTGCATTACTAAAGAAGTTTTACAGAACGGAAATATTCTACTGTTGATATCTTTCAGGTCAGCACAACTTCGATGGTTAGGACTCATGTTCCTATAAGGAAGGGATAGACAAGATACCTGTGTGGTCAGGAATTGTGTCTATAGCCACAGTTATGACCTCTAGGTTTGTTCGTTCTTGAAATATCTGCAATGACGAAATCGTAGTAAGATTCCGAAATACCTATGCAATGACGTAGGAGGTTTTGCAAGTGTGTCCGTCAGCTGTGTAGGAGAATGAACAAGATTGTTTATGACCACATTAGTAGACCAACGGTCTAATATTTTATTCACCAGTTTTTTTTCTCTCATTCGTCGATACTGTAAGAACGACATTGAGATGCCCCTATAGGGTATAGATTCGTCACAGAATAATCACATAGTCTTCCCTCGACAGTCTCTATTTGATATTGCCCTTTATACTGTGGGAACTGCTCTGAGTAAATTGGAGGTAGTATTTAAAGGACGAGTGGTCTCAGGACACAGCACATTCCTGCCATGACCGTTTGTGCACCACCACCATCCTATCACAGCACCCTTATGATTCTCTCCGTGAAAACGCCTTTCTAAATGTGGATGTAATTTCTTATAGGATTCGATAGAATGTTGCGTTCTACGAGATGAATCATAAGTAGATAAGTCTTACCCTTTGCTCTCATAGGAGAAGGTGTCTGTGACGACTCCCGGGTACGGGGATCTTTGAGGAGCTCTACAGTTGAGTGCCCTTCACACCACATTGAAGAAGTCATCTCGAATGTTTTGCTCTGTGCTTTTAGATTTTTTATAACGGCTGGAACAATTAAGCGGTCACATTCAAGCTTAGTGTTACCCACATAATTTCGAACTNTCTACGAGATGAATCATAAGTAGATAAGTCTTACCCTTTGCTCTCATAGGAGAAGGTGTCTGTGACGACTCCCGGGTACGAATCTTTGAGGCGCTCTACAGTTGAGTGCCCTTCACACCACATTGAAGAAGTCATCTCGAATGTTTTGCTCTGTGCTTTTTGAATTTTTTATAACGGCTGGAACAATTAAGCGGTCACATTCAAGCTTAGTGTTACCCACATAATTTCAAACTCAGTTCTTTGTTTTGCTTTTGCGCAAGCTCGGCAGTTGAACGCACCGATTTCACTTTTCTAATGTGCATCCAAGATTCGGCCAGATGCCTCATTTCATTATCTTTTGGCTTCTGGATGTTCCAATGTACCCAGCAGAAGCTAACAGTGAGGTGAAAGGAAAAAACTGGGAACGATTCCTTTCATCCCAAAAGGTTAATAAAATTTATTTATTTATTTATTTTGATGCACGCAGGAGTGCGCTAAAACTAATACAGTGAGCTAAAAACATTAACGGCATAAACGAATCAACCTTACAACGATTGGTCAAGATTTGTTCGAATTCATAAGGAGGTAGTTAAGCTCAAGATCCGGCAAGTGAAACTCAGTAGACGGATGGCGCTAGGGATAATGCCACTCCCAGAGAGCATGAAATATGTATATATACATATAT